TTATATTAAACTACACTTATTTATCTACATAATTATATCTAACCATACTTTATTTACCAGAATCAAGAATCATAAAATTCATATTGGCAGTAGCATCTCACTTGTGCTACAAATCTTCTTTTCTACTATTCTTGTGAAATCTAGTTATTTATTCTTCTTCGAAATATTTGTAGAGGCTAACATTGCAATAAGCTCCAGATTTCTGCGTTAGCTCTGAGATATGTCCAAATAAAATTTTCCATGAATCCTCTATAATAACGCTTTCTTGGAAGTAACGATACCCTATGTGCCACAAAAGAATAGGACCTCTAAAAAGCATCCTACACAAATACAACGGAAAGTCATTAAAAACGACCCCATCTTTTGAAGACCAGTACATATTTACCTAGTTACTAACGTTCTTACCACTGATAAAATAAATGGAAAATTTCACTACCCATATAACATCATACCTTTTACCTGAGTAGGCAGAGGTATACATTACGACACAGCCATGCCAGTGTACAATGTAACACCCACTTTTCACTAGTCCCATGTAATAGGGGGTGAGCCTATTGCCATTTACCGAGCACAATTCCAGGCTCCGTGCTACTGGAATGTTTTAAAAAGCCCAGTAGAACTTTGCCCGACTCAAGAATCGAACCCGTGACTCCTTGCCCGGCAGTCGCACTTGGGACCATTCGGCCAACGAGGCAGTCACTATCCAACTTTATAAAAATGAAACGGTGGAAATATCACCGTTTTTGTCTACTAAGACAGGTCTTCCCAATAGCAAGTCACTAAACTGAACAATGGTCTTTCATATCCACCCACTGCCAGCCACAGTATAGTTACTGTCACTCTATCTAGCTAAAGTCATTATTGGCTCACATCCACAATTTGAGCCTTAATACTTCACATTGTAATATAAATGTTATATATCGGTCAGTCAGCAATTCCAATAGCATCTCAATGCTATTGCAATGAGACCTCAATCTCAAATGTAACAAAATCAAATTGCAATTCATATTCTGAATAGTAAAAGTCTTACACTAACGATCTACTTTATTTCTGTTGAGTTCAACAACCTTAAGATAAAAGTCGACGATTACTCGTGAATTTGAGAAGGAGCAAAAAACAAAAGAAATTATTTTTTTCTAAAATTAATCTGCTCCATTACATTTGCAAAGGCGGTTTCGCTACACAGCCTGTCTGAGTAATAGCTAGGACCACAAAATGTTGGGGCTCTTGACAAGATAATAATGACTAATGAGTCCTTTCAAAAATAATTGGACAATTTCATTTTGTTTATGCGACATATTTGAAATGGCGTATATGTTTTCAAATTGGCAACAATATTTTACGGTCAATTTGGTAGCTTCAAAGGAGATATTTCGAACGAAATGCCTTTGCAGACCATACTGTTTTTGTATTTGAAAATGAAAATGGTTTTTATTGTTACGCATATGTGAAGTTGAGTTCACTCTTTGTGGAATATTAATACGGTCAGTAACAATACTTCTTTCACTTATTTGACTTCAAATTATCGCTTCTTTCAAAATTTCGGAATAGGAGGCACCTTCACCTGATGGTAAGCGATCAGCGCTGCCCATGGACACCCGCAACACCAGAGGAGTCATAGGTGCATTGCCGGCCTTTTAAAAGGAGTAAGCTCATTTCTTGATGGTTAGAAGGTCGTATCAGTTCAGAAATACCGCCGACGACAGATCATTCCCCAGTTTTGCTGTGCGAGGCAGAAAGCTACGTGAGAAGCGCACATTTATGGCCTGCCAACTATCTATACGGTGGCGACGCATATGCTGTCGTGAGAGTCGATGGCGAAAAGATGCGGCAGGTATCAGGTCAAACAATTCCTGAGAAAACTCCCCGTGGTATAAGCGATAGAAAATGCACAATGAAACTACATCTCTACGCATTGTCAAAGTGTCCAGCCGGTTTGAATCATTCCGAAATAAGACAAACAATTATTAATCTGTAATTATTTTGATACAATGTAACACCCACTTTTCACTATTTATGAGTCCCATGTAATAGAGGGTTAGCCTATTACATGTGGGTGTTACATTATACATATCTAATGTGCACCTCTGCCTACTCCTTCAGGATTAGAAGGCGTAATGTTATGTTATGATACTATATCGTTATTTTCTCTTAAAGATTACGAGGCATCAGGTTGTTATTAATGTATTTCAACCACTTAATATGACCATAAATAACAGCTCTCCTGTGAAACTATAGATAGCAATGTTGCATAAAAACGGAAAGTAAAAATGTTCCATGAGGAAAATAAATTAATTTATTTGTCTCCTCAACACAGAGATTTTATTCAAGTAAGAGCTTTTTATAAAGAGTTTATGTTTTCAAGGCTACTCTCAAAGAATGTTCAATCTTAAGTCTTTAAAGTTTATTTTCGTCTGTTTATGAGTAAATACGTTGTTTATTTACTTTTTATATCCAACAGGTGCGTAAAAGTCTACAATAACGGAATGAAATTGCCTAGCACGTAGACATTTTATTTTCAATTTTTAAAGTGTATTTAGAAATTGTTTTAGCTGGCTTCTATACTTTAATAACACAACAACACGCATTTTATACCCGAAGGGGTAGCCAAAAGTGCACATTACGGCACTTAATGTCACTGTACAATGTAACACACACTTTTGACTATTTATGTTAGGAGTCCCATGTATGTAGGGAGTGAGCATTGCCCTATACCGGGCACAATTCCAGACTCCGTGTTACTACTGAGATATTTTTTAAATCCCAATCTATACTTGACCCGGGAATCGAACCCGAGACCCCTGGCCCGGCAGTCGCACTTGCGATCACTTGGCCAACGAGGCAGTCTTAATATACAGATATACTTTAATATTCTAATTAAAAAGAAAAAAAAATTTTTGCTAACGCGACATCTTTGCTATTGCTTTCGTACAAGGCGCTTTGTTTTTTCACTAAAAAGGCGGCCTTTGCCAAGTTACTAATTATTTATTACTAGCTTTTACCCGCGGCTTCGCTCGCGTCACAAAAGGATGAAAGTAGCTTATGTGACATATACCAATACACACAGCGCCATCTATACCAATACTTTTGTTTTCCCTCGGAAATATCAATTTTTCCGGGATAAAGTACCCTATTATTTAATCCGGACTTCTAACTTTACGTCTGCAAAAAATCAAAGCAATCGGTTTAATAGTTACGGCGTGAAAGCAGAACAAACAAACAAACTCACTTTCCGATTTATAATATTAGTAAGGATTTATTATTTTCTGCAATATTTCACTTCTTGGATCGTACTTATTAATTATGTAATACAAGAAAGGATAAACGTTATAATTTTGCTCTTATAAATTCGGCATGACAAAAGAAAAATTAGTGTAATATTTTAAATACTTTGGCCTAAATCTGAAAGTAGACATTTCAGGCAGAAACTTGCTACGCAATCTTTGCATAGCAACAAAGAATTTCTAAGTGATAAGACCTGTATCACTACAATTTATTAAGCATAATGAAAACTTTGTACAAAAGCTAAACTTTGAAGAAGTTAAGGCGTCTGCTAACTTACGCGAAAGCTGTTGCAAAACGGAAGCGTGAGGGGCGCGGTTAAGCGGTACTTGAATAAGTCAATTAGGGACCATTTTGTAATATTGCACACAATTAGACCCTTATAGAGGTTATAACCTTTATCTTTAGATATTCTTATTATTTCTCTTGACTTTACTCGGGTCATTAGGGTGGGCATTGAGTCTTAATTAGGTGCGGCATAATGCCAATGAGTTGCTCAGATATAGACAGTGACATCTGAGAAATATATTATTATATCTGAGAATTATATAGTAGGGGATGCTCAAGAAACTAAGCGATTTTATGTGATGATTAGTTAAGTGTGGGAGAGCCATGCTTCGGCACGATTAGGCCGGCTCAACCGAAGTGATAGCACGGCCTCACAGAAAACCGACGTGAAGCAGCTCTTGCGATGTGTTTTGTCATGTGAGTGAGGTTTCCGGAGGTCCAATTACCCCCCTCCCCAGTGTCCCCAATCCCCGAATCCCCCCATAATCCTCAAATTTCCAATTTGGCTGGCAACGCACTTGTAACGCCTCTGGTGTTTCAGTTGCCATGGGTGGTGTTGATTGCTTACCATCAGGTGATTCGACAGCTCGTGTACCGGCTTATCCCATAAAAAAGTTAAAACGCTAAATAGTGATATACTTAGCCTAAGTTTTCCTTTACTTCAATAGTCAAATGCCAGAAAATAATCGAGGTAAACAAGTACTTAGTCCAGATATATTTAGTCCAATGTTGACCCAATTACTGACTACATACGACTTTGTCACTGTCCAAGCAAAACAAAGTTATAAAATTGAGGAATCGCCTTATTGACATGTCGTTACGAGGATGGACCTTGAAGGCCAATCTTATTCAACCAATTCTTTTTTCATGGTTGTCCTACTTTTTTATCAGGAAGTTTATTTCGTAGACACAAGTCCTTGTTTTTCAAGGTTTTTGTTATCATTTTGATAGATGACAACGAGTTTGTTCTCGCCCTCCGCAGGCCCGTGCTACCCAGAGGTTTATATGTCAATTTTCCAAATACTCAAACGCCACTGAAGTTTAACCTTCTGTCTGTCGATATATGAGAACCAATAGAAAACACAATGTGTCTCGCGTACATCTGCGTTCCGACAGTTCACAGGTTAAGTCGCGCTTAAATATAGTTCTATCATTACAAATTCGTTGTAAAATGATAGAGATGGCACGATATTAAATACGTTGTACGGAACAACCTCTTTGTGTGATCAAGATTCCAGATTGTTGTTCCGGGTCCAGACCCGGACCCCAAGTTCACATACACATGACACCCAGGTGTCATGTGTATGTGAACTTGTATGTTTGTAAACACACCCACGATACAGGAGAAAATCCTAGGGAAACATAAAAAAAAGAATTGCTCTAATAACAGCGTAAAGGTCTAAGAGTACGAAATTATTATGTGAACTTACCCCTTGCAAACTAAGGAAATCCATTCCTCTCGCGACTTGGAAGGCGAACTTCGTGAGATCTTGAGATGTGAGGAACTGGCTCCCATGGGTGTTCCCGTAATGACGTTCAGCTCTGGAGTCTCTGAGGAACTGCTGGAGCTTGCCCAGGCTTACGAATTCCATTATTACTAAGGTGGGTTCCTGAAAAGAAGATAAAGGATTTATTAATTCTTCTTCTTCTTCGATAGCCTATAAGTGCCACTGCTGATCCTCTTCTCACACGGAGAAAGTTTGAGTACAAATCACAACGCTTGTTCATTGCGGGTTAGCAATTTCAAACTTATAATTAGGAATTTTAAGCCCAGGTTTCATCACGATGTTTTCCTTCACCGTTTGCCAGTGGTGTCTAACTAATTTTCGAAAGTACATACATATAACTCGGAAAAAGTCACATAAGTTCTTGCCATTGATAGGTTTCGGTTTCGAACCCGCAGTCTCATGCATGAGAAGCGTCTTAAACCTCCGGGTCACCACGACATACAATATTCTTTTATGACACAAAAAAATTCAGATCTTGGAACTTAGTTACTCCTGGTTGTGCTTAAGTTTTCAATAATAATAATTTTCAATAATAAAATATAGATAAACCTCTTTATCTATTTATTTATAGGTATAGCAATATATCCTCAGTTGTATTCCTAAGTTGTTGTACCTAACATAGTTATTAGTTTGTTTGGTCTTCACTCGAGACGTACTCTTAGATCGTTTGAAGACTCAGAGCCTACATAGCCTCACAGGCGTTATTGGTATTACGAAATCGAAGCAATAACTATAATAAATTTATCAAAGTATATGTCTCGATGGTTAAACCGATTATTTACTAACGACTCTATCTTAGACATATGAGATATATTATAATATGAATGTTGGTATCAATAAATTTATATTAGCTGTTTTGAAAGACAAAGTTAAAGCATTGATTGAATTTTTCTATAAATTTGCAATAACTATATTATTGTACAGATTTAATTCGAGTTAAATGTCGTGGTGGCCCGGAGGTTTAAGACGCTCAAGCATGAAAGTGCGGGTTCGAAACCTACCAACGGCAAATACCAATGTGATTTTTTCCGAGTTATTATGTACTTTCTAAGATTATGTAGACACCACCGATAAATGGTGAAGGAAAATATCATGAAGAAACCTGGGCTTATAATTCTAAGTGGTGATTAAGGTTCAAACCTTCTCCATGTAAGAAAAGGCCTTTGGTTAGCAGTGGCCACTTATAGGCTGTTGATGATGATTTATTTGGAGTTTATGAAATATAAGAGTATTTACTGAATGGTTTCATCAACCCGTAGAGTATAAATATTTAAAGAAATATAATGGTACGATATTTTGTTGTAATTACGATGTACCTACCTTTTCTGTACAGCATCCAATCAATTGGACTACATTTGGATGGTAGTCCAAATTCTTCATAACTAACAGTTCTTGTAGAAGATCGATTTTTTCTTTTTCTGAAGCATTTTCTTTTAGTGTCTTCACTGCAACTGTTTGTTCACCTTTCTTTCCTGTAATATAAAAAAAACATTATTTATAATTGTAATTAAATATAAAAGTCATGGTGAACAAATTTTTTAGAATTCAGATTTTTTGATAAAATACAAATATAGACGATTCACGAACCGTGGACCAATATTATACAACGTTTTTGATGATGGAAATGTGTTCAACAATCTCAATCTCCTCCATGTTTTTCAAACATGAATAAAATGATAATCCAATCATAAACCAAACTCGAATAGTGTACTGTAATCTTTCTATTATAATCTTGTTTTTATTTTTTTAATGTTCTTATTTTGATTCTTTTTTTATTGCTTGCGTATCCTTACACTTAGTAGTTCGTTAATTTTTTATAAGACATATATAATCTGTACTCATGTTAAGCCAAGGATACACTAGGGGACAGGGACAAATGTCTTGCGACACGTGTCGCCAGCAACGTGGGTGGAGTAACGCGACGTTGCCAGACTTCGGTCGACATGTCTGGCAACATCAACGTCGCTGTGGACATAAGTTGCGCGTTGTCGCCTTATACTGCGTAGGCTTGACGTGTCAGCAATACATGCTGTGGGACATTTGTCCTTGGCTGTACAATAATAATTATCTTTTGTAGTTTAATAAATCTTACAGCCAGTCCACAGTATGTACCTACCCTTCTACATAATGGTAAACCAGACCGAATAGAATTCAATGTGTGAAAAGAGACGGAGATATATTCAGATTTTTTTACAGTATCTATTCACCCTGTTCCTGTATCTATTCACCCCGTTATATACCTACACAAATTCGACTTGTGAAAAGAAACGGAGATGTAATAGGATTTTTTTACAGCATTTATTCACTCTGTTTCCGTATATATTCACCCTGTTATTATATACATATTTAAGTTTTTTACAAAAAGGTGAGGCAACGTTTTTTACAATAACGTTTTTTACAAAAACGTTGCCTCACCTTAGGATTTTCTTCTGTATCGTGGGTGCGTTTACAAACATACAATATGACATATACATGACACCCAGACCCGAAACAACAATTTGTGGATCACACATTGTTCCGTGCGGGAATCGAACCCGCGACACGTTGCGCGGCAGCCAGTTGCCCAGCCACCGCGCCAACCGTGCAGTCATATATTCATATAAGTCACAAACCCATCTTATGTATTTATGTATGTATATTTATTATGTCAGTTATATATCGTTATTATATTTTAGACAAGGTTCTAAGGAAATGTCACAAGTGCCTGTATATGAGGCAGCCTTAATTCTTATCATTAATCAAAACTGTACAAGACACAAATACTGAGAGTGTTTTGCTTGTCTTTAGATTTAGGTATGCCGTGGTGGAATGGAGATTTAAGACGACCGCTTTTCATGCATGAGAGTGCAAGTTCGACACCTACCAACGGCAAGTACCAATGTGACTTTTTCCGAGTTATATGTGCTTTCTAAGATTTTATAAACATGACTGACAAACGGTTAAGTTAAACATTGTGAGGAAACCTAGGCTTATATAATTTCTAATTATAAGTTTGTAATCGCCAACCCGCATTGAGCAAGCATGGTGATAAATGCTCAAACCTTCTCCGTGTGGGAAAAGGCTTTGCTCAGCATTTTTAGGCTGTTGATGATTGATTGATTGATTTAGATTTTAATTATTGTAGGTATATACTAATTTATTTAGAGGAGCTCGATTGGCAAGTAATTCGTCTTAAAACATGGATTATTAATCCATATTTTACAATTTGTTTTTATATCAACTTTTTATAAAGCTTCTAAAGTTAAATTTATTTGGCAATCAGGTTATTGAAATGGGACAATCTACCATAATTTAATATTTGTCCAACAATTTCCTGTAATTCGCAGTTAATTTGCCGATTATTATTTTAACAATAACACAATATAATGTGGACGAAAATAATTAACTATGAAATATTGTTTAATCGCTTTGATTAAAACGAAAATGAAATATTAATGTACGACAAAACTGATAAAGGTGATATTTTAATTGCATCCATTTCCCAATAAAATTGAAAACAATGCCCGCATAATGTCTATACCTACGTTTAACATTATTACGCAAATAAATGAAAGTGTTCATTGTTAAAATGTTATCAAAGGGTTTCACGTAATTTTTACTATCTTGATATTTTTATTTGCGTACTAATTAATCTGAATATGTATTTTCCCGTTCCCGCGGGATTTTCCGGAAATCCCTGGTTAAAAAAATCCGTCTTTTGATTCCAAGTTACCTCTTCACCAATTTTCAGTCAAATCTATGTAGATGTTTTTGAGTTATAAATAGTGTAATAAACACGATCTTTTGTATAAATATATGTACATAATGTTTTTAAAAAAATATCGAATTAATAACAAAAATTGTTTTCAATCAATTCCAAGGTCAATATAAAGCTGATGAGGTGTTTAAATTCCTTCGCTTTTTAATTACGACACGTCAGAATTTTACAGTTACAATCCAGTAGGTTTTGGTTTACCCCTTACCGACAGGACTAACTTGTTCAAAAAATCTACAATTCAACAGAAAACATTTTCTTTTGAAGATCACGGCCCTAGGACGTGACTGCTTACTCCAAATGTGGTTGTTTATCTTTGTAGTGGCTTTTCACATACTAGGGACGTCACTTAATATTCGGTTCCGAAATGACATGACTTGACTGAATCCGATTTCAATACTCACACTATTTGATCAGAGGTGGTGTAATTACTTACATAGAAAAAATGAATTACTCAGGAATTCCTAGACTTTCGTAACTGTAGAAAAATCCCTTGGTTATAACGTTGACACAAAACTTATAATATTGATTCTAACTCTGTGCGAGTTTAAGCCTTTGACTGCCGACAGAAAACTGTTGAAGGTAAATCATCCGCTATCGTGACCCATACTTTGTCCCCCGTGGGGTGTAAGGTGTTAAACTTGATAGTAGTATGATGTTTAAAATAAATGACATATCATCAGTAAATTCTCGTTTTTTCAATTATATCATCAGTTTGACAGCTATGTTAACTCCATCTCAACTTCGGTTCCATTGAAATCGTCTCGGTAACACCCCTATCGCACACGGAACCGCAACAGACGTGATTAGGGTTGCTAACCAAAGAAACAGTTGCACTTAGAGATACGAGTCGTAGGGCACTCTTCACTTGTGTTAGGCTAAGACCACACAATTTTGTTTATTTTTTTTACTACCTCTATTATTATTATTAGTAGGCATTTCAGTTATTCGCCCTAGCCACGGAATCGCATTTATTTTATAATATTTTTAACTGCCTCGTTGGCCTAGTGCTGCTGGCCAAAGGGTCTCGTAAGGTACTTATGGTCGGTCGTCGGGCAAAGTACTTATGGGTTTTTTTAAATTCTCAGTATTAGCATGATGTCAGGAATTGTGCCCGGTATATGGCAAAAGGCTCACCCCCAATTATATGGGACTTATAATACCTATAAATGGTGAAAAGTAGGTGTTACATTGTTTAGTGGCACCTCTGCCTTCCCCTTCGGGATAAAAGGCGTGGTGTAATATTTTAAAAGCACATTGCAAATGTGGTCGCTTGTGTAGTCACCTTTTCCACAAAATTACAAAATAAATTACCTATTTAAATAATTTTAGTATAAAAATTACAAGTCTTTACCACCGCGGTTTCACTGTAGTGTGGCCGGGGCCTTAGTAATGGAATGACTATCTTCGCTTGTTTTATACTACTGTTGACACTTTATGTGTCGCGTGGACGTGAATTGGAATGAATTGGGTAAACCCTGCTGTGTAAACAAACGACATGATTTAGAATTATATGTCACGTTAAGCTGGTTTTTCTTAGTGACGGAGTATGTGCAGTTGTTAAGCTGAGCTAAGGACGACATACATAACATCACGCCTTTTATCCCCGAAGGGGTAGGCAGAGGTGTACATTATGCCACTGTACAATGTAACACCCACTTTTCACTATTTATGTTATGAGTCCCATGTAATAGGGAGTGAGCCTATTGCCATATACCGGGCACAATTCTAGACTCCGTGCTACTACTGAGAATTTATAAAAACCCAGTAGTACTTTGCCCGACCCGGGAATTGAATCCGAGACCCCTTGCCCGGCAGTCGCACTTGTGACCACTCGGCCAACGAGGCAGCAACTAAGGACGACACTTTTTATTAATTTCAACAAACAAACAACAAGCAACAGGACAAACAATTATCTAAGCTACCTCGTTGGCCGAGTGATCGCCAATGCGACTGCTGGGCACGGGTTTTCGGGTTCCATTCCCGGGTCGGGCATAGTATAACTGTGTTTTAAAAAAATCTCAGTAGTAGTACGTAGTCTGGAATTGTGCAAAGTTGTTATCATAACATAAATAGTGAAAAGTGGGTGTTTCATTGTACAGTGGCATTAAGTGCCGTAATGGGCACCTCTGTGTACCCCCCGGGGACAAAAGGCGTGATGTTACGTTAAACAAAATGTAAGCCAAAGAGTTCTCATGATATGAAAAACTTTCCTTTATTTTATTTTATTTTTTTTTATTTTAATGTCGGGCGGCACTCTCTAACAGTCAACTTTTATACGCTTTTTATTATCAATACATAGTATAAAACAAAGTCGCTTTCGCTGTATGTCCGTATGTATGCTTAGATCTTTAAAACTACGCAACGGATTTTGATGCGGTTTTTTTTAATAGATAGAGTGATTCTTAAGGAAGGTTTGTATGTATAATACATGCATATTGCACCCGTGCGAAGCCGGGGCGGGTCGCTAGTTTGAAATAAATTCGAATCAGCTGTTTTCGAACACACGTTATATTTTATTACATTCACAGCGATTCTCGATACAATCTTTGTAAATTGAAAAACAAATTGTCGAGCGCAATTTTACTCAATATCGGTCTACTGACCGATTTTACCGAAATGACTATGCCAAAGCAAAGAGCCTTCTCGAATCTTTCAAGGTTTTTCGTTTAAGAAAATGAGTGTAAACCTGTCTACTCTGTTTGATAATTTTATCTTACTGTCATTTCAAATTGAACTTTGTTGATTGGATGTTAGGTAATCTTTTGCGTGAAATGCTAGGCGGTTTGTAATAAAAAAGACACAAGTATTGTTGTTTTTTTTTTTACATTATTATTATGCTAGATTGCTAAGCGAGTGTCTGTGTGTGTCCTAAAAATAACAAAATAACGATTCTAAATTAATTATTATGGTTTTGGATTACTCACGTACCTATTTGACGAGGACCCGCGACACAAGCAGAATGCTGCTCATGAATAATATAAGCCTTTGCCAAAGCTTAAAACTAGTAGTCAAATAGTTAGTAGTCAAGTAGTCAAATAGTTACGTGAGTAAGCCGAAAACATAATATTTAATTTAGTATGAGTCACGAATGTTTTAACAATTACTGCTCTATTTATTCAATCACATTCAACAATGAGATTTATCGCATTTTTGATGGTTTTAAATCGTTCATTGAAAATACATACATAAAATTGAGGTACAAAAGAAAAAAGAAGAAAACATGTTTCAGGTAGAAAATACAAAATATGCATTCAAAATTATATCGCCAATCTTTTATTGGTTGCTTCAACGAAAACCTTTATTCAAAATGGTAGGAAATTCGGAAAATTTACTGACTTTTTAAATTTTGTAAATTATTTTTGTACTTATAAATTATTTTTGTACTTCGTTTTAAATCTTGTAAATTATTTTTGTACTTATATTCATATTTTAAATTGATTCATTTGGATGATTGATTATTGTATACCTATCTAAAGAAAATGTAAAAGCAAATAAAGAAACAGATTGAATTTTAAAATATGTTACCTATGTTATTCTAGCTAATGGATTCGAATGTCTAAAATGCAGATATATTTATCTTATAATATTTTCTTTATGCATTTTCATAGTCTTTTTCTATTGTATATATATGTACTTTAGTTTGTGTTGTTTATATTTGTTTGAGTACGACTGTGCAGGGGGGCGGTACCCGATACGGTGCCGGGATCCCGGCTCCAAGGGCAGGAGTAGGAACGGGGTGGTTTTTAGTCAGTAAGAGTCTGACACTCCATCTCGCCTAACCCGAGGCGGGAGAAGTCATTAGATGACATTCCTCCTCAAATAGTAAATCTTATTGAAAACGTTGATTTTACTCACTCACGAATTTGGTACCTTGTAGAAATAATATTTATCTTCGTCTCCTTGCAAATCTGATAATATAATATAATTGTTTGACGAAAGTGATCCATACACAACATCCACTTTTCGCACAAACTTCATGCATTTCTGGAGGTAAAAAGACAAAACACGTGTTTCTTCTTAAGTATTCTTTCTAAGATTTAATCACCTCAAATGCAAATAATCCCAATCTCTTCGATACCTGAATCCCTAGTAATCCTCATATTCTTAAAACCCAAATGGCCGGTAACTTGTAACGCCTCTGGTGTTCCAGGTGTCCATGGGCGACGCCGATTGCTTACCATTAGGTGATCTGTCGGATCATTTACCGGCTTATTCCATAAAATACAAATGAGAAAATTCGGATGATGACAGGGTATGAAAATTAAAAAAATCTAATTAGTCCGTAAGATAGGTAATGAAAAAATATTAGACACGTATTTTTTTATTTTATCGTATAATAAAACAATACTTAGATAAAACGAATCAAAGTTTAGGAGTGGGGGCTAAAACGTCATTTCTACGTATAAAATGTACATAAAAGTGACGTCACGCGACATTTCAAATCAATATATCGTCGAAAGTATTCATTTCTGTAAGAAAATAAAAAATATGTTTCTAATGAATTAAAATAATCTACCAGATGGACACTAAAATAAAAATCAGGCATCTACCCTATTGTCTCAGCATAATGAACCTGTAAAGTATAGTCACAATGGTTAACGTGTGAGCTCCAGAATTCGTGTAAATCCTTCCGGATCACTGTGATCGTGTCGAATTCGCGTCCCATCGGATTATGTGAGAAAGGGACTATATTGCAACTATGTGTACTTGCTTCGCAATTAACTATGGTTTCACAAACAAACTGTTCCTATTGAGCTTAGTTAAGGTAACTGAGACGCTGGTTGAACGTTTTGCATCTTAAAATAATAATAGGAATGTAATGTTATATCTTGCGACTTGGATACTGGCAGGGAATTATTCCTTTACTACAATTACATATCTATAATTATATAAAAATGAAGCCCTTTTCCCGTCGTCACGCCATAACTCGAGAATAGCTGGACCGATTTGGCAGATTTTTTTGTTGTGTTTCATATTGTCAGGAGAAAGTTCTTACGATCGAAAAAATCTCAAAATCTTATGGGAACGGGAGAAGACGGAATTGCGCGTACTAAGTCGCGGGCAGAAGCTAGTTATGTATAAAACGCAACTTGTTTTATGTCTGATATTCGCATTTGTTCTCTAGGACAGACATTTTAAAGTAATATATTTTTATAAATTCTATACTTTGTGTAAATATTTATATGTATCAGAAAGGAAATAGAAAGGAATTATTCATATTGCTATACATTGATCCCGATTGACTGCTGAGGAAGCGAAAGAGGTATGTACGAATCGTAGCAATCGGCGTTCCATAGTCTTTGCCTTTCCCATGGGAGACAAGTGTGGGGTTATGAATATATGAATTTTACCAATTTCCTATGATCCCATTCTAAAGTATGATGTTACTCAGAATTACCATAACATCACGCCTTTTATCCCTGAAGGGGTAGGCAGAGGTGCACACACAAGTAACACCCACTTTTTACTATTTATGTCATGAGCCCCATGTAATAGGGGGTGAGCCTATTGCCATATACCGGGCATATTGAGACTACTACTGAGATTTTTTTTAAAACCCAGTAAACTTTGCCCGATCCGGGAATCGAACCCGAGACCCCTTGCCCGGCAGTCGCACTAGCGACCACTCGGCCAATGAGGCAGTTACTCAGAATATCATAATTATGAAATGCGCATTATTTTTCTTAATTTCTTTTTTTCGTGAAATATAAAATCATTATATTATGTATACAATTAGAAACGCATACAGAAATATTAATTATGTTTACATACCACCAATGTCCGTAGCTTGAGCTCGCCACACCTGGCCAAAGGCACCTTCTCCCACAATGTTGAAGATCCTTAGCTTATGTCGAGGGAACTCCCACTTGTCCGGTGGATGGTCGTCTTTTGATATCGACGTTTCCTCTGACAACTGTAAATGAAAGAGTTAAATTAAATTTCTAAACAAAAACTTCATAAGCCTTCTGAAGTATCCAAATATTTTACTAAAGTCACATTTTCAACAATTTGAAGATCACACAAATGTTATAGCAGTTTCATGCGGAATATAAACCCACCAATTTACTACTGATTAATTAATTGAATTTGCTTTAAGTGGGTAATTAGACTTTTTATTTTTAGCCAATCTATCTAATAATATTATGTGTTTGAGAGACATGACATTTAAGTGTGGGAGAGCCATGCTTGCGCACGAATGGGCCGACTCGACTGGAATGATACCACGGCCATGAGGCCGTATACTAATGCTTGCGTTGTGTTTCGTTGTGGTTGTGTGAGTGAGGTTACTGGAGGCCCTATTACCCCCCTCTCTAAAGTACCCAATCCCAGAATCCCCAACAATTCTCAAATTCCTTATCCCCAAAAGGCTAGTAACGCCTTTGGTATTCCGGGTGTCTATGAGCGACGCCGATTGGTTACCATCAGGTGATCCGGTCATTAACTGGCTTGTCGCAAAAAAACCAACCAAAAAATACAATAAAAATAAACATAAAATTATTTTTAACAAAAAAATTATGTATTCACAGCGTAACTACAGAGTCACAGACACTACTAATAATTTTGAAAAAAATCTTCAAAGGAAATTTTCTTGGAATCGAAGATTTGGTAGAATGTAAACGAAATAACAGTTACAAAATACAACAACCGTTATACCTTATATTATTGTTACATAAAACTATTTTATTCAAACCACATTTAATATTAAGACGCTCGCGTAGTCTATGAAAAAAAAACGATTACATAGATTCTTTATTTTATTCATATTTGCACGCGAACGTACTTCGGAACATCTGTATGGAAAAAAAGCAAGCATTTTTGTTAGAAAAAAATCTAATAAGATTCATAGATTTGTAGTTGTATCTTGAAATATGTATAAAGAAAGGCTTTTGAAATGGGTACTTAGATACACTGGATTTAAGTATTGGTTGGATTAAGTATACATAGAATACAAAATTATTTACAAGATTATATTTCACAAGTTGTGTTGAACGAGAAGGGTGACTAGTATCGGACTTTCTCGATATCTTTAAGAAGAGCAGTGATTTAAGCCAATCCTGCCTTCTCCGTATATGACATTAATTATCTATTTACTTTTTGGTTATTGGCTACTCGTTGGATTTGTGCGACTGCCAGGCAAGGGGTCTCGAGTTCGATTCCCGGATCGGGCAAAGTATAACCAGGTTTTTTAAAAATTCTCAGTAGTAGCACGGAGTCTGGAATTGTGCCCGGTATATACTTAGCAATAGGCTCACCCCCTATAACATGGGACTCATAACATAAGTAGTGAAAAATGGGTGTTACATTGTACAGTGGCATAATGCGCACTTCTGCCTACCCCTTCAGGGATAAAAGGCGTGATGTTATGTTATGTTTGTTTTTGGACCCAAACTCAAAAACTCAAACTCAAAAGCATTTATTTCAATTAAACCATAATTTGGTACTTTTGAAACGTCAACAAATATGAAATATTTAATAGTCTGTCAGTCTGTCCGTCAGTTAAGCTAGGCGCCCAAGAGACAACATCTACAGAAATCATAGATATCATAGCCTCTGTCAATGCCAGCGGCTTCGCTAGCGTTTTTTATGTATAACTATGTTCTTTAGGTATAACAATACCAGATCATAATCTACCCCTGTTAAAAATTTCATCTCAATCCCTTCGGCCGTTTTGACGTGATGGAGTAAAAAACAAACAAACAAACAAACAAACAAATGTATTTATAATATTAGTAAGATATCTTTGTTTGTGAAGTCATCATAATCACAACTGCAGACAGTTACGAAAAATGAAATCTTTGGTCAGGAAATTCTTACCAGACCTTAGATTTAAATTCCCAATCAAATCGTAGAGCGTTTGACTCCTTAACCTTGATAACAGGTCAAACAGAGGTGTAATAAGCCTACAATTCTTCCCACTTATTCGGGGAATAATATATTTAATATTAAGTTACAATATAAGGTCCTACAACTGACCTGTAAATGATTGTTGTCCCAAGATTCATAACGATTGGAGTACGCGCGTGGATGGTCCCACATATTAAGCGATGCGTCTTGAAGGACGATCCCACTCGAGTCCTTACTCTGGGAACAAAAACGATTAAGCATCAAACCTTTAGCTTATGAATAAAATAGGATTACCAGATTACCAAGAAACGTATGAATATTGGAATTTGTGTGGAAAATGATGTGGAACTGAAGTGAATACTGAAAATAGGTTTGTGAATTAAACAATGAAAAGTTAATGGTTATTTTAGAGACTATTAATGTATGATTGCATTAATGGGTTGTGGATTGTGAGCGCTGCTAATAGGTGGAATGGTTGTATCAGGCAAATATAATAGGATAGTTTCCTAAATTTTATTTTAATCTACTTTAATCCGTCTGGTAGATTAATTTAAAACTTTAGACACGTATTTTTTCCTTTCTCACAAAATTATATACTTTCGACGATACATTAATTTGAAATATAGTATGACGTCACAGCGTGCCACATTTTGTAGCACGTTATGACGTAACGACCTCCCACTCCTAAACTTAGTGCCATTTTATCTAAGTATTGCAACTTAAAATGTGAAAATAAAAAAATACGTGTCTAATATTTTTTAATTATCTAACTGACGGACTAATTAGATTTTTAATTTTGATACCCAATTATTATGAAATATAAATAATTTTTAATTATTAGTAGCAAGTGCGTCTGTCGGGCAAGGGGTTTCGGGTTCGATTCCCGGATCAGGTAAATTGTTACTGGGTTTTAAAGAAATATGTCAGTAGTAGCACGAAGTTTGGAATTGTGCCCGATATAGTGCATTGGGCTAACCCCCCATTACAAGCGACTCATAACACAAAATAATAATGAAAAGTGGTTGTTGCATTGTATAGTGGCATTAAGTGCCGGAGAGATGCACACCTCTACCTAACTCTTCGGGGTTAAACGGCGGGATGATCATCATAATTCAGTAGATAGAAAAATATAACTAAACTAATATATAGATGTAAATATTCCCTACGTATTATCATCAAAAAATAAATATTACATATCAAATAATATAGCGTTCATCATTTTCCAATTACCTTATAATAGAGGTATTTATTATTAAAATAAACACGATATTGTCGACTGAAATTACGTACCTACAAATATTTTTGGCCTATAATAATTTAGTTACTGGAGCTTTAAATTAGGTCGCGGTAATGTCGCATCTGATACGATGAAATTATGTACAACATAATTCGTTTAAAAGTAGATACTATTTCAGTAAAATTATGTCGTTTTTATACATAATATGGGTAACTTTGTTTTTTTATTTACCATATGTGCAGGCAAAGGTGCACATAAATATAAAATTGCACACATATACACACACACACCTATTAACATAGCTAAATTCACTCTGAAACATTCAAATTCTAACGGTAATAATTTCATCTAAACAGGGAATAAAAATTAAATTTCATTTCATTAACA